GCTGCCGCCGCGGTTCCGAAGGACTCGGACCGCCCCCGGCGGAAATGCCCGAGCGTATTCGGACCAGTGGGTGCCCCGAGGCCGAGGCGGAGCCTGGGGATGCCCGAGTGATTCCGGAAAGAGCCGAACGTACTCCCGCCGCACTGGCGTGGGGTCGGGGGTAGCGCGCCCCCGAGACAGCCGAACGCTGTCGGGCTGCGCTAGCGATCCGAGGCTGGGCTCGGCGGGACTGGCGGAGGCGAGGTGGAGCCCCGAGACCGCGGAGTCTCTGGAAAGAGCCGAGCGTGCTCAGTCCCAAATGCAGAGCCTGGGAGTTTAGACCCGGAGGCGGCCGCCGGCTTCCGGACGGGTCTAGAAGGGAGGGTGAGGCCGCCTCAAGCTAAGGCGACAGGATGGCAGCAGAGGAGGGAAGGCGCTCGCCACCGAAGGCTAAGTTTTAGGAGACAGCAGAGCAAGCTGCGGTCCAAGAAAGAGCCGGGGTTGAAGGCGTTCCCATGGCAACCCAGAGCGTCCGGAAACAGCCGAGGACGCTCGGAGTCCGGGGCGTGGCCAAGAGTGCCCCTGAACCTGCCCAGAGCTCCGGAAGTCGCCTATTGCGGGTGGCTGGGCCGGCTTTGGGTAGGGGGACAAATTGTATGGCACAGCCCAAGCAAAAACCAGGTTGGAAGGGAACGAAGATGATTTATTTACTTTATTAACATAGCTCAGGGCCCCAGACGGGCGTCTGTATGAAGCTTTTAAGGGCAGAGCTCTTGATGGGATGCTCGCAGGGAGAGGGCAGCAGAGAGCTGGGACCAGAAAATCCATCGGGAGAACCTCAATGGCAAACTCCCATTTAGCCTCAAAACCCACTTGAAGTCACTTTAAGCCACCAGGCTGTTTTCACCCCACTCCCTTCCCCCCATTCATTTACCCCTTTCCCAACCCCTCACAAATCCAGACACACTGGACCTCCTCTTTGTAAAGGTGAGCTTTTATTCACCACCAGCTCCAGGATGGAAGAAGGGCGCAAGTCATGCACAGCCTTGGTCTACCCTCCCACACCAGGCAGTGCTGGGTGGGGGGCTCAGGGAGGGATGCGGAGTGGGCTGCAGCGCCTGGAAAGCTCCCTCTCCAAGTGGGGCACATCAATCTCACCAGCCACCTCCAAGACGCCCAGCGGATCACACAGCATCCTGGGGGAAGAGCTGGGCTGGAGTCTGCTGTATCTGACACCAGACCCTCCATTCAGTCTCCCTTAATGAGAATGTCCACAGCAGGGCCTGGCTGGTGCTCCCTTCTGCCATGTTTCTCGCTGGGTGACTGTGGGACAAGTCTCTGCCCCTCGCTGGGCTTCAGCTGCTTTGTTGGTAAAATGCAGACGATGATGCCACCTCCAGCCTTCTGAAGATTGGCCGAGGGAGAAGCCACAAGTAAAAGCGCTTGGCACACAGTAGGTGCTTAGTAAAGAGTCATCGGGATTAGTCTCGTAAACACAAGGAAACTGAGGCACAGAGTGGGAAAGCCATTTTCCCAGAGCCACACAGTGAAGCTGAAAATCAAACTTCGGGCCTTGCTGTCCCCCAAGTGGGTTTCCTCACTTGAACTTCATCCCAGGGAGGCTCTGAAACATCGAGGGAACCCCTGAAGGTGTTGCAGACACATCATGGTCAAGGGCTCACTCCTGTGGGCCTCAAACGTGGAACCTTGTTGAGGATGGACACTCTCTTGCCTAGGCAGTGACTGGCAAGGCCTGTGCCTCTCAGGGCATCAGTGCACCCCTGTGGAGGGGGCGACCCCTCTGCCTAGATCTGGTGAACACCTATTCAGCCATGAAAACCCCAGCTCCCATACCCCCTGCTCCAGGCTGAAGCCAGCAGGACTGAATGCAGACTCTAGCAAGGACGGCCTGGGGATGGCAGCTATGACAGTGGGAAGTGGCCTTCAGAATCCGGTCCATCATGGCGATTAGGTTTTGTGGGGGAGGGGAATCATTTATGGACTCTCCAAGTCATATCCAAACTGGGTCCCCACAGGTGAGCTCTGCTGGGTTCCCTCAAACCAGTGGATCTTCAGTTGGGATTAGATCAGGTAACACAAAAAAAACTTGAAAAGTAGAAAAAAACTAGAAAACACAAACACAGATCACTTGTCCAAAGTGCTTCCTTCTCAGCCCAGAGGGCAGGGTCTGCAAGTGGTGGCCCAGGTGCCTGGGGGAAGACCTGGCAGCCGCCTTCACAGGAGCAGCTCAGTCTGACCACCGCTTATATAAAGTAATAAATTAATTGTAGGGATTTGCTGCTATTTACAACGCTACCCTTGTCCCCCATTCCTGCCCCTATGACCTTTGATCGACAGCAGAACACGAGGGAGGCCCTGTCTCCACCTTCCAGCAAGGACCGAGATAACTTCTTGCCTTCCAGGTGTCATTGGCTGGTGGCTCAGTCTCCATCCAGGCATGACTTTATGGTAAAAACATTGCACAAAAAACACGTGACTTTGAGGCCAGGGAGAGATCAGATGAGGGGATCAGTCTTTTCCAGCAGGTCCGAGGGCTCCTGGGATGGTTTCGGCGCCCTCCACAGCGATCTGTGGCACTGATGTGGGTGGCCCAGTGCCCTCCTCAGGTGGTTCATCGAAGCTCACCTCCTGCACGGCCTCCTGCTTCTTGAAGGAGTCTCGGCGCTCAGACAGGTGTAATCGCCGCATGACAACCAGCTCGGAGTCTGGCCCACGGCTGCGGCGCCCTGGCTCCCCGTCCAACCGCTCACCTGTGCCCAGCTTGTCAGCTGACTGGCCTCGGCGCAGCCGTGGTGATCGGGTGGCTGTGGGTGGGTGCCCAGGCAAGGGCGAGGGTGAGCGGGGTGGCGGTGCAGGCACTGGAGGGCAGGCCAGTGGGGAGGGTGGGATACTGCTGGTGGACTTGCGGCGGCCGGCCTTGGGGCGGGGTGGCCCAAGCTTGGCAGCCAGGCCATGCAGGGAGCTGGGGCGTGTATGGCCAGCGGCGGCCGGAGAGGCAGGGCTGCTGGAACTCGGGGATGCACTGGGTGGGGATGCGGTGTCTGTGGGTGACAGGCATGGGTCAGGGCCACTGGCTTCAATGGCGGGCCCTGGGACTGACTGAACCTGCCAAAGCCCACATCCTTCCCTGTGGCCACCCATCATGCCTGGCTTTTTTGCCTCCCACATAGGGCTGTGCCCTTGGCCTAGATCTGGTGAACTCCTACCCATCCATCAAAGCCCCAGCTCCCATACACCCTCCTCCAGGAAGCCTCCCCTGCCTCCCCTGTGGGTTGCCCCAGCCTGTTCCTCCCTCCAGCCTCACCCTAACCCAGTATGGCTGGGGGTGTCTGCGTCTGGCTGTCAAAGACTGCGGGCCCTCAGGGTTAGGACAAGTCACCATCCTCTCCTGCCTCAGAGTGATCTTTCCAACACTCAGACCATGCCCTCTCCAGCTCACAAACCCTCCATGGCTCCCTACTGCCCCCTAATTTAAGCCCAGCTCTTCATCCTGATCCATTCTTCAACCCCACCTCTGCCCTCCCCCAGCCTCTCCTCAGCTTTCACATCTCTCCTGTCTCATGATGTTATCTCTGCTGGGCACACCCTCCTCCACCCCCTGCACCTGTCTGACCACCCCCAGGTTGCCTTTTAGACTCCAGGAGGCTAAGGCCCTTCCAGTCATCTTTTTTTCTACATCATCCCATCCTCCAAACTCCGCTCTCTCCCTCCTGGGGGCCGACCAGCCCTTATTCCCAGGGTGGCCCGGGGTGTGCACCTACCTGCTGGGGTGTCAGGGGCTGGGCTGCGGCAGGGCGTGGTGGGGCTGGGGGATAGGCTGTGGGTGGGTGAGCCGGGGAGGCTTTCACTGGAGGACAGCGAGTGGTGGAGGCCGGAGGAGAAGCTGCGGCTGGTGTGCAGCACAGAGGACTGCTTTGAGATCTTCTTGAAGAGGGACTTCCGCCTGGGGTGAGAAAACCGGAGGCTTAGAACCTGCCCGGCACCACCCCGCCCACGCCAGCTGGTGCACCACTCACCGGTCCTGGGTCTCCCGCCGGCGGCTGCGCTTGCTCCTGCGAGCCATGCGGCCCTTGGCCATGTTCTTCCGGGCAGGGCCCACCTTGATGGACGTGTTCTCCAGGGCTGTGGTCCGCAGTGATATCTTGTTGCCGCTCTGGGGGAGGGATTGCAAGGGATCGCCTGTATGCCTCCTGCCGGACCCTCAAGCTGCCGGTGGCTGCTATGGCTCTTTAGCCACCAGTTGGCATCTACCATGCCACGGCCCAGTTATCTATCCAACCATGACTCACCCACATGTACCCAGTTAGATGACCACCCATGAGCACCATCCATCCTCCAGAGATCCTTCACCCAATGATCAACACCCATCAGGTCCCCTCCAGCTCTCTGCCTTCCCTGGGACCTGACTGTCCATCCCCTGACACTGTTAGCAACTTTCATCTACCCCAAATCTCCCCTTCCTCACCTAATGGCCCCCCACCCCGTGGGCCAAAGACACATGCCAGCCCTTGTCCATCCATCTACCCAAGGAGCCCTCCCTGCGCCCACCTGCAGTCCTGGGAGCTTCCAACAGGCCCTGCCTCCTTCCCTGAGCCCATCGCCCACCCCCAGGCCCAGCCCCAGGACCCCTGGTCTGGGGGAGGCAAAGATGGTGCAGATACCCCAGCCGCATGAGGTCAGGGTGGGCTAAAGCTTTGAGGGTGCCCAGGGGCAGGGAGCCCGGAGGAGGAGCTCTGAGGGGTGGCGTTAGAGGGCTGAAGAAGGAAGCCTATTGTGGACAGAGGGAATGGTGACTCCAGGCTTAGAGTTGATGAGTGTGAAGTAGTGTGGCTGAAGCAGAGGAACCACGGGGAACCAGGAGCTGAGGCTGAGGAGGGGCTGGGGGTCGTGGGGACCCCTGGGGTAGGCAGTGGGGGGTACCGCACCTTTAGCAGCAACTCAACGACATCCATGTGCACCAGTCCAAGTACCGACTCCCCGTTGATGTGGGTGATGAGGTCCCCGGCTCGCAGGCCAGCCTCCTGGGCGGGGCTTCCCTCCTCCACGCTCTGGGGGTGGGTGTGGGGGGACGGTGAGGTCAGTGGCCCGGGCCCCACATCTGGAGATCCCTGGCCCCACTCGCTCAGCTGAGCCACTTGTGCTGCCTCAGTTTCCCTGAACTTGGGGGCGGTTCAGGGACCGACTAGTTCCCCTGATGGGGGACTGATGCCCCTGGGTGGGGGGGTGGCAGTGACAGACAACATACCCACTGTGCCCCGCGTGGTGCCAGGGGCTTAATGCCCACTCAGGGTCTCTGTCCCTTGTCCATCCCTGTCTCTCGTCGGACCTCCTCCCTCACAACCGATAGGGATGGAGAAGAACCAGGTAGGACCAGTCCCCACCTGCCTGCCGCCAAGCCCCCAAATGCAGCTCTGAGAAGGAAGGGACTTGCTTGGACAGAGCCAGAGTTGACCCCAGACCCCCATGGCTCCAACTCTTCCAGAGTGCTCCCTGCATCCTCCTGGGTGGCTCGACTCACCCAGACGACGTGGTGCACAGTGTAGACGTCGCTGTCTCCCATGTAGACGCGGATTGCCCGCAGGCTGAAGCCGTACTTCTTGCCTGAGCTGTGGATGACAATGGGGGGCCGCAGGCTGCTGCACACAGGGGACGGGTCTCGGCTCGGCGAGGAGTCACGGGACGACGGGTTCGAGGATAGCGAGCGTGGGGACAGGGGGCTCATGAGGGGGCCCCCGCTGCCGTCATCTGCAGGGGGTCAGGGAGGGGGTCACTCCCTTGTGGGGTCCCCCAAGGGACCCTCTGCCCTCCCGCCACCATGACCATTCTGGCTGCTTTGCCTGCCCCAGGCATGGCCTTCCTGCCAGCAGTGCCCTCCATTGGGAACGCTGTTTCCCCAGCTCTCCCTGTGTCCGGCTCCTTCCCCTCTCTTGGGGCTCAACCCCAAGTCACCAACTCAGGAAGGCACTTCCCTCCCCAGCTCCCGACCCCACGGTCTATTGGGAACGCTGTTTCCCCAGCTCTCCCTGTGTCCGGCTCCTTCCCCTCTCTTGGAGCTCAACCCCAAGTCACCAACTCAGGAAGGCACTTCCCTCCCCAGCTCCCGACCCCACGGTCAGAGCAGTCCCCACACCATCGCTTAAAATGGATGTACACGGAGAAGAGACTGGGCCTCGGGCATTACCTGCCGTGATGATGAGGGACAGGGCAGAGACGGAGGCTGACTTGGGTACACGGCTCCCGCCACCACCACCACTGCTAGAGGAGGCCCTGGGCTTCTCAGGGGCTACGTCTCTTGGGCCCCCAAGGTGGCGGCCACGGCCAGCATCCAGGGGCCGAGGTGTGGAGTGTCGGGCGCCAATGCTGTTACTTCGGAGGCGGGCGTGGCTGAGGGCAGCTGTGTCGGCTAAGGGGTCAGCGGGTTCAGCCTGGCGTCCCTCCATCTCACACTTCACCCCTCCACCCTCGGGACGCCTAAGGCCCTTGCTCCCTGGTCAGCATGTACACAGTCCAGCTCTGGACCTTTTCCTGCAGTCCCCTCCTCGGCTCACCCTTCCCGAATCGTTCTCCATGGAGAGCTCCACTCTTCAAGCCCCCTCCTCCAGGAAGCCTCCCCTCACACCCAATCAAATCCCTAGATCCCCAGCCTCCTCTCTTCCTCTAGTCCCATCCTGACCCTAGGAAGCTGGGCATGTTGTCCCTAGACTGGGGGCTCCTAGGGGCCTGAGGCCTCTCCTATCTTAAAGCTTTTGTTAGCTCTGGAAAAACTCCTATGCACACTTGAAAACCCATCTCACATAGCCCCTCCTCTGGGAAACTTTCCGTGACACTCTCATCCTGGACGCCACCTACCAGAAAGGCTCGAGGGCTTGGGCATCACTGGTGTGGCCACTGGGGGTGGGTCAGGCTCCCCTAGAATGAAGACAGGCCTCTTAGGGCCAACAGGGGCTGGGCCTGCCCCCTCATCCTCTGATGAGAAGGCAAACTTGGGCATCGTGTCCAGGCTGACGTTGCTCAAGAGAGACGGGCTGGGGCCCCGCTCAGGCTGGGATGAAGATGAGTGACAGGAAGAACCAGAGGATGTCCAGGACCTTAGCCTGCACGGAGGAAGAGCCCGTGTCACCCTTGTCAGGTGCTTGCACCCCAAGATACCCAGTTGCCCCTTGTGGCCACATCCGAACTCTCAGTCTGGAGTCAGGGGCTGTAATTTGCAAATACAGGGTGTGTTCCCTCTGTCTGAACCGTCCTGTGTCTGCCTGAACAACTCCTACGCAACTTTTTTTTTTTGGCGGCTGGCCCGTACAGGGATTGAACTGGGCCTTGGTGTTACCAGTACCATACTCTAACCAACTGAGCTAACTCACTAGCCTATTCCACTTTCAAACCCAGCTTCCAAAGCCCATCCTGTAGCAGACATGGATTGTTTCTGTTGGGTCTGGACCTTGAAGAATGAACAGGAGTTTGTCAGCAAAGGACATTCTGGAGAGAATAGCACAAGCAAAAGCCCAGCAGGGAGATGGAATACAGCTGCTTTATGTCGGGCATGGTTAGGAATGTGATTCCAAAGGGAGCAAGGGGGTCAGGGGCCTGACAGCCTGGCAGATACATTTGACCCTTTTCTACTGGGCTACTGGGAAGCTCCATCGATATCAGATTTTGTGTCTCCACCTCTCCATCTCTCAGCAGACTTAGAAATTGGATCTGCTTACACTCCCTGCCCACCTACCGGATCTCGGTGCTCATTCGGCGGCCACACTCTCCCTCACTGCTGCGCTCCCACCCTTCCTCCCGGTCCTCACTGAAGCTCCTTTCTGCGAAGGTAGGGGTGGTCTGGACGGCCAGAAACTCAGAGCTGCTGTAGACCTGGGAGTCAATAAAAAATAACAGTAACAACGGTGGCAGCAGCTGCACCAGGCTGGAGAGCTGATTTAGTTGAGCGCTTCCTATGTGCCAGATGCTTCCATATCAGTCACTTTCTTTAACTCTCACTTTAAAGAGAACAGAGTCTTTAGCCCACTGTACAAATGAACAAACTGAGACTCAGAGGGGCTTGACTACCAAGGAGGGCCACAGCTGGGGTTTCCACTGATGGCTAGAAAGTCCTGTCTGGGGCCCAGGTCTAAAGCAGTGTGGAAGGTTTTTCTGTTTGTTTGTTTGTTTTTTAAAAAAATGACTGATAAGGGGATCTGAACTGTTTTTTTTTTTTTTTT